TATTATTATCATAATTGTTATTATTATTATTTGGTCAACCGCTGTTCTCCTTGACTCTGAGTGGTTGCCGTGGACAATTTCTAGTGTAGTTCTCAGGTCACGTCCTGGAGATGTTGAAAACTTGAAGTGACTGGAGACTGTGGTCACTGTTGTTGCTTGAGACTCCTTGAGGTCGTGTTATCTCTTGCTGTTACAAGGGGAGAGGGTGTTACAATGTTGATAAAAACTCTTTCACTACGGGATGGGGGGGGGGGGGGTTGTCACCTGGACAGGGCCTGATCTGTGACCTACTTTCTTCTGATTCTGCCTACCGTTAGACAAGTTAAAAACTTTTAAAGTTCAATTTTCCCCAATGTGTCCCTTGTGTGATTATGCATATGAGACTGTGGATCATCACCTGTTCCACTGCACAGCCCTAAATGACATCAGAGCTACCCTTCTCTCTCTGAGACCTAACATTGACAACACACTCTATAGAGCATTACAGCAACTGCAGCAAACCCGCACTTATCACTACATGGCATTGGACAGAAGGGCGAGAGCCCAGCTGTTGCTGGATCGATAACAACAACAACAACAACAACAAAGTTCAATTTTCAAGACAAGCCACATGTATTATAATTATATTTTAGAAAATGAAGTGGAAATAATGACTTAATCTCAATGTTACGTGTAAACTTATGCTAAAAACTATCATTCTCTCTCTTCAGCCTGAAATCTGTCTCGATTGCTACAAAAGTGTGTTTTGTGGGTTTTTGGCTCAAGGCCTGTTTTTTCCATATAAATACCCATTTCCATTATGAATTTGACTCAAAAACGTTGATGAAAGGAACAAAATATGTAATTTTTCAGTTTTTAAGGACTTTCAAGAAGTTATTGAAATTACCATACTTTGGCGGCCATTTTCTCACTAACTTTACCACTGAAACCAGACGACCCCACGTCCTCTTAACTGAAAATGTCTTGACTTCTATTTAAGATAGATCTGTCTATGGATAATTTTTTTTTCATTGAAAACAAAACAAATGAACAAGAAACCTTCAGATGGTACCAATAACTTCACATGCCCAAAAATTGACAAAAGTGTCTGATATAGTTAGGAAGTGGTGGAATCAGGCACTTGTCAATTTTCTGGCATGTGAAGTTATTGGTACCATCTTAAAGCTTGCCTTGCTTACGGTGAAAAAAGTATCCATTTATCTTGGACACAAGTCGAAATATTAAATAATTAACAATTGAAGGAGGTGGGGTAGCCTGGTTTCAGAGGTAAGATTAGTAAGAAAATAGGCGCCAAAGTTTATTTATTTCTTTAGCTTTTAATCTGTGGAAACTGAAAATTTATATTTTTGTGCCTGTAATCAACGTTTTTCAATGCTATCTACACTGGAATGTGTTCTTTTATGGACATGAAAGGTGTTGAGCCAAAAATTAAAAACTCGATAAAAATTCCCTAACCTATGGACAAATAATGCCAGTTTCTTCTCTTTCATTATTTTGACGAGCGCCTGATTTCACCACACTACCTCACATATATTATTATAATTATTATTATTATATATATATGTATAATTTTTATTATATATATATATATATACTTTTAGAACAAAAATGATGGCATGCTTTTTTTAAGATCAGGTGTAAAATTTCTTGCAGAGCTTGAAAGAGCAGCACAGAAAGTTTGAGGTGGTTCATCGACAGCTGGAAGGTGAAAAGCTCAAAGCAGAAAAAAGTACTCAGCAGTTTAACAGATTGTATTGGTTTTGTCAGGAAAGAGAAGCTGTTGTAGAAAAAGTAAGCTTGTTTGTGTCTCGAGTTGTTTTTTGTGATTAGTGTCCAGCCTGGGTTTTTTTGTGATGATAAAAAAGAAGGATAAAAATGTCTGTCACAGAGTTGGGCAATAAGAGAACAGCTACTGGATATTGCTGATGCTGCTACTCTTCTTCTTCTGCTTCTTCTTCACCTCTTCCTCCTCCTCCTCCTTCTCCTCCTCCTCCTCCTCCTCCTCCTCCTCCTCCTCCTCCTCCTTCTCCTCCTCCTCCTCCTCCTCCTCCTCCTCCTCCTCCTCCTCCTCCTCCTCACCTTACTTTTTCTCCTCCTTCCTTACTCCTCCTCCTCCTCCTCCTCCTCCTCCTCCTCCTCCTCCTCCTCCTCCTCCTCCTCCTCCTCCTCCTCCTCCTCCTCACCTTACTCCTCCTCCTCCTCACCTTACTCCTCCTCCTCCTCACCTTACTTCTTCTCCTCCTCACCTTACTTCTTCTCCTCCTCCTCCCTTACTCCTTGTCTTCCTTCTCCTCCTCCTCCTTTTTCCTCTTCTCTCAAGAACAGGGGGTTGGGAAAGTGACAGAAGATAAGGGCTGAAACTGGAAGGTCTTCTTAATTTAAACTTTCATAACACTATCTCAAATATTATAATTTATTTTAAATGGAAAGTATCTTATTGCCGACAAGGCAAATACATCAGTGTCAGTAGATGGTGAGATTCCCTCCTCTGATAGATGCCGTGTGTATGGAATTGTAACAGATTGTAAATCATGTTCTTGTTTTTTGTGCGGTTGGATTTATTTTTTGTTATTTGTTTTTTCTTACGAAGCGGTTTTACTGACTGCCAAAGTTATAGGGTAAATGCATGAAAGTGGACCTGTACTGTAAAAGTAAGAAATCTAAGATGCATATATATATATATAATATGTGTGTGTGTGTGTGTGTGTGTGTGTGTGTGTGTGTCACGACACTGTGAAATCAGGCGGGTGGGTGGTTGGCGGGTGCTCTGGTGTGGTTTGCTTCTTCTTTCCTATCAAACATCTATCGTCCTTATCTCCGCTTCTTCTTTTTAATGTTTGTTACTCTCTTGTAACACCTCTAATCTTCTGGCGCTCATATATATATGACCTTATTAAATGCAGTTGCGAGCGCCGTAAAACCTCTACTAAAACTATACTAAAGCTAAATGAAATCAGGCACTTATCAATGTCTTTGATTTCATTATTTTGACGAGTGCCTGATTTCTCCGGGATGCCTCATGTACTTTTGTATTTGTATGTGTATGTTATTTCCTCTTTTAATGCGAACAGGCAGACAATGGCTGAGAATATACTGTTTAATAGTTTCTTATTTTTTTCCTTTACTTTCAGCTGGTGACGGAAAGATATAAAGTGCAGGGCGAGAATGTGTGGCTGAAACGGAATTATGGGGAATGCCAGATGGAGGTAATTTGTGGTGTCATGATTCGGTGGAATCGGGCGCTTGTCAGTTTTTGGGCTCATGGAGGCATTGGTAATTATGTTCTTAACCCTATCCATACGTCGTGTTTTACTATCGTATCCATACGACATGGGGAACTCTGTGCCACCACTTTATTAAGAGGAAATTTACTCATTAATCCGATCCGTACGCTGTGCATTCTGTCAAAAATATTTTTTTCAGAAATACTGAAAGTTTCAAAGAGATCTTTGTACTAAAAGTATTCTAAAAGGTGAAGAATACAACCCCGGGGGTACAAAATGACCCCAGGCGTACGGATAGGGTTAAAGAGTTTGTTCAATTGCCTTGTTTTTTATTTGAAAAAATACCCGGCTATCTTGAATAGAAGTTGAAATATTTGCTCCGGAATGAGGTGGGGGTCGCCTGATGTCAGGTGTTGTAACATAAGTGAGAAAATTGCCACTAAAGTTTTGTGACTTCCAAAGCTGTAGTGAGTGTCCTTGAAAACTGCAAATTTACAATCTTTGTACCTTTAATTAACGTTTTTCAGTAAGATCCATGCAGAGCCATGCAGAATTCAGTTATTAAATGAACGTTAAAATTTTTTAAAATGATGTAAAAGATTTGATATAAAATTCCCAAAGGGTGAAAAAATGTCGCTGTCTTTGCGATTTAATTATTCTGACAAGTGCCTGATTTCACCACAACAACGATACCACACATTTGTGAGGCGTCCTGACAAAATGAGTTACTTCTCGCTATCCACAAATGCGGATATATTGGCCAAAAATCGACACTAGGGTCAAATTGTAGATTTTCTATTGATGATGCCATATTCTTTAAGTTTAACATCATCAATCATCATCAATGCCTTTCACCCCTGGCAGGGTATAGGCCACATACAAGCTCCTTCCATTTATCTTTGTCCTGGGCCATCCTTCCAAGCTCGTTCCAAGTGAGCTTCCTCTCTCTCATGTCCCTTTCCATGCATCTCCTCCATGTTTCCCGTGGCCTACCCCTGCCTCGTGCTCCTTGTGGGTTCCCCTAACGTTCCACGAGCCAATCCGAAGAGACTTAGACTTGGGTGATGGTGGAGGCTTCTGCCAAGCAGCTTCCTTTCGGCTTTCACTGCCTTGCCTCATAAACTCTCCATTCGGAGAAGATCCACGACCAGCCAAGCAGAGATAATGGTTTTTGTTTGTATGTGTTTCTGTAACAGGTTCTTTTTACGAGAGAGGTTGTTAGCCTCGTGACTCAACCCCCAACCTGGTGGCAGGATGACTCTGTTTCAGGAGTCACTTCCTGGTTCGCCATTTAGTCGCCTCATACGATACGCTAGCACCACGTCAGTCCTATTTTTCTCAATGCCAAGACTGCACGGCAGAAGTATAACATGCTTTTTATTATTTCATCCTTACAAATTGTAAAAACTTCACCGATAAGCCTGATGTATCTGTTTCAATAGGGCTTGAATCCGAGAAGTAACTCATTTTGTCAGAATGATTCACATTTGTCTAATTAGAAATTTTTATGCAATGTTTGTCCCATGGATAGCTTGTGAGTGGTTGGCAGGTGCTCTGGCGTGGTTTGCTCCTTCTTTCCTATCAAACAACTATCGTCTTTATCTCTCCTCCTTTTTTATGTTTGTTACTCTCTTGTAACACCTCTAAACTTCGGCACCTATATGACCTAATTGTGTTGCAAGTGCCGTAAAACGCTTGTAATTACTAAAACTAAAAAATGGATAGTATTAATTGTGCTTTGTTGCCTCTCACACAGAGGCTTTGATTCTTTTTGCTGCTCTGTGCCTGCTAAACTTTATGGCACTGTGCAATTACTTAACTTATTCAGGACATGATTTTTTCCTGCAGTTGAAACTATCCTGGGGCAGTGCTGCAGACTGTAGTGTCTTTAGGCCATTCCCAAAGGGGGGACATTTCTCGTTCAAGCTTAGTAGAATTAAAAATTGGCTGACTCATGTCACCCTCTTAACTGTGACTAATCTACAACAGGGAACTGCTGCTTTTTCTTTCCTGATCCTTACTATTGTCATTTTCCTCTACTTCTTTTGTATGTTTGTCACACTCTTGTGACCTGCTATTTCCGGGGTGCCTTGATAGTCGGAGCAGACCTTGTGCTGTTGAAGCTAGAGAGGTGAGCAGAGTAAGTCTGATTCCCTGTAAAGACTTCTCTGTTGACACCCACCCCTTGGCTCTCATATTACCTTATGCAGTTGTGAGCGCCGTAAAACCCTCTACTATAAAAAACAACAACAACCGTGGACGTAATTGGTTAACCCTCTGAGCCCTGACATCCTGTGGCTATCCTGGCCCTTTGCCTGAGCTCCTGAGCAATTCTCGCCTTCATTCATATCATGTATTATCGTCAGAATCACATTCCATATCCCACTCAGGGTAGTCCTCGTCATTACCAGCGTCTAATTGTAAATGGGCTGATCTTCAAAGTGGGTGTTTGGCGGGTGCTCTGATGTGGTTTGCCCCGTCTTTCCTATGAAACATCTATCATCCTTATCTCCCCTTCTTCTTTTTTATGTTTGTTACTCTCTTGTAACACCTCCAAGCTTCTGGCGCTCATATGACCTTATGCAGTTGCGAGCGCCGTAAAACCTCTACTAAAACTAAAAATGAACTTCCAAATAATCAATAACGTCCCGGTTAGTAAACACTGGTTTTCCATCCATGTTTTATCCCACAGGGGCTGGGTTAGGGATGGGGTCTCGCTCACTGGTGTACCGGAGGCTAGGCGTACTGGCAGTTTCACGCGCCGGTTTACTGGTGGCACGGGCTCAAAAGGTTAATATCCATCTCCGAAAGGATAAAATCTATTGGGGAAATAGTGTAATGTACCTTTCCCAAGGACACAACGTCGGACTGAGCTGAGGCTGGAACCCTTGAACTGGCAATCTCAAGAGTAGGGGGTCTGGTAGTCTAACCACTAGGCTACTGATGCCTCCTCACCTTCTTGGCTTGGTCTTAACGGAGATGCTTTGACTGTTAATCGGCTAGACGGTTGCCGTTAGATTTGATATATTAGTAATTTCATCTCTGCTTTGACCACGCTCTTTTTGACATCTTTGATTCTTTTGTCTTTTTATTTCAAATTCAGTGTGAGAAGCATCGCACATGGCTTACAGAAACTGAGAAGAAACTGAACAGAATTAAGAGGGAGGTAAGATTTAGTCTGTGTGTCGGTCTGTGTGTCTGTCTGCCTGTCGGTTCCTACCTGTGTACTCCCCTCTCTCTCTCTCTCTCTTTCTTTCTCTTTCTCTCTTTCTTTCTCTCTCTCTCTATATCAATCTATCTACCTCTCTTAATCTCTCTCTCTCTCTCTCTCTTGTTCTCTCTCACTAACTTGCTCTCTCTCACCCTCTCTATCCCTACCCCCCCTTTTCTCTAGAGGCACTGTTTATTTTATTCCACTTTGTCTGTCTGTCTGTCTGTCTGTCTGTCTGCCTGCTCTTTCCTCCCCCCCCTCTCTCTCTCTATCTATCTATCTACCTCTCTCAATTTATCTCTCTCTCTCGCTTTCTGTTGTTTATGTCTGTCATTCTCTTTTTTATCCAAGAACTAGATAACAGTCACTATGGCAACATGCTTCTCTTTCCCCAAACAACAAACGAATTTTCAGTCTGCACCCAAAACTGACAATCACTAAAGACAGTGAAAATAAAATAGAAGCAACAGAAATGTGGTTTCTTAGGAGACTGCTAAGAGTATCGTGGAAGGAAAAGAAATCAAATGAGGTAGTGCTTGTTGAAGCCCACATGGGACACTCAATGTTAAAAACAATGAAGCACAAAGGAAATGACAAATGCAGTTTTTGGGACACCTGAATAGACATAAGGGTCGTGAAAATCTAGCTCTCACTGGCAAAATTGAGGGCAAACGAGGCAGGGGTAGGCCCAGAGCAACATAATTAGGGAACCTAAACAAATGGGTAACAGGGAAAGATCAGGGAAACGTAGCTTTTTTGAGAGCATCCTCGCAAAGGAATAAATGGAGAACCATGATCGCCGATGTCTGTCGCAGACCTGGCCCTAGATGATGATGACCAAAAACTGAATAAATCTCTTCAATGTTCCTAGTCAATCTTTGTATTTCTGTGTTTTAATCAATCTTTTTATTTCCGTATTTTAATCAGTCTTTTTATTTCCATGTTTTAATGAATCGTTTTATTTCTGTGTTAAATAGATTCTGTGTTTTAATCAATCGTTTTATTTCTGTGTTTTAATCAATCATTTTATTTCCATGTTTTAATCAGTCTTTAAATTTCCGTATTTTAATCAATCTTTTTATTTCTGTGTTTTAATCAATCTTTTTATTTCTGTGCTTTAATCAGTCTTTAAATTTCCGTATTTTAATCAATCTTTTTATTTCTGTGTTTTAATCAGTCTTTTTATTTCTAGGTTTTAATCAGTCTTTAAATGTCCGTATTTTAATTAATCTTTTTATTTCTGTGTTTTAATCAGTCTTTTATTCCTGTATTTTAATCATTGGTTTTATTTCGGTTATTTAATCAATTGTTTTATATCCGTGTTTTAATCAATCTTTGTGTTTTAATCAATATTTTTATTTCTGTGTTTTAATCAGTCTTTGTGTTCTAATCAGTCTTTTATTCCTGTATTTTAATCAATCTTTTTATTTCGGCGTTTTGATCAATTGTTTTATTTCTGTGTTTTCTTACGCCGTCTCCCCAGGATGACTCAAAGCAAAGGAAGATCAGAGAACTCGAGGCCGAGATGGACAAAGTCCAGAATAAGGTACGACAAACGAGAATTTAACTATTTCTGGTCGAGACTATGGCTCGCTCACACACAGGGGCACGCACAGAAACACACACACATGCGCATAGAAACACACACTCGTACACACACATGCGCATAGAAACACATACTCGTACACACACATGCGCATAGAAACACACA